ATTACAGAATGGCTGAAAGAGTAAAGGTTCATTTTGGCCGAAAAGTGTTCCACCCGATCGCGACGTTTCGTATCAGAACCCACCATAACGTATTTATTGGAMAAAATATTTTTGTGTTCAAAAGTGGAATTTATGATAATAAACAGAAAAAATATTTTCCTTCCAACAAAAATATTGGAGTGTACAAATATTATAATTTCATAAAAAAACAAGAATAAAATCTACAGCATGATTTGAACTGACAATGAGCAATACAATAACACTTTTTAAATAATAAAAAAATTTTTAATTCAATTTTAAACTATATTAATTAGTTGTAATCGTTTCACTTAGTAAACCACTGGAACACCACCAGTCATCGAATTATCGATTCCACATTCGTTCGACCCACGTCGGATTTTGAAAAGACCGTTGTCTCCCCAATCTTCGCTCCAGGAGTTAACCATCAACCAATACGGRACTCCGTATTCTTCTCCCCAACCGATCAACTTCACGGCATGTCCTCCTAARTATGTAGCATTTTCTGTTTTCTCATATACACCTGAAACTCATAACATTTAATTTAAGCTGTTTAAAAATGACAATTCATCGCACATGTGCTCCCCATATTCTACTAAAGGAGATTCGATAGTGGTCGATAAAACCAATTTTAATTTAAGATTCCTAAGAATATACTTTTCGTATAACAGTGTAGGTATTATTATTATTTATTATTCTGTATGAAATAGGCAAAAATGTCAGAAGAAATAGCGAATGTAACACCATTATTTAACCAACGAGTTCTATAGTGAATAATGTTTTCTTGTAACAAGTTTGAACTTGTTTTCCAGCGGATAGAGTCTATCCGATAGACGAACCTAGTTTACCATAAGCATTTATATAAAAACATACGTCACATTTAAATTTAATTAACTTAATCAATYAGGTACTTAGACCCAAGTTATAAAATAATCGATGTACCTGAAAAAAACCCTTAGATTATGTCTGTGGATTTTAAATTTATACCTAAATGTATTTGTATAGTAAAAATTGTCTTAATTTTAGAAAAGACACTACAAGTGTTCAAGAAATGTTATATTCATTGTCAAAAAATCATGAACAAGATACATCGTCAGCTTTTGGAAAATTGATAATGCCTGACTCTTGTTTTTATCAATATATTTTGTTTAATATATCATTCARTTGAATATTTGAATTGTCAGATTTTTCATGATAAAACGAATAAAATTACATTATGATATGCTAAATCGAATATCATTGAAAGATTATTTTTAAGTATATTTTAGCCATTATCTATCTATATGTATAAAAATATACTGCTAGATGAACATTACCAAATAAACATTTCGTTAGCACCGCCCAGCCTCAAAAAAGGAATTTTTTATATTTTTAGATCACCTTCATTTAGCATGAATTTGCTCGACTATCGCCGAAATCCACACGACCGTAAATCCGTGCAATCTCGTCTGCAAAAATTTATTTTGATTTGATTTATAAGAATCTATATTTTATTAAAAAACAAATTTAAATAAAACAAAACCCAGGTAGAATAAAAAATCTATTTTTAATAAAAATTCTCCAATTATCTATAAAAAAAACTCCTTTTTGAGTTAAATATAAAATACCTTGAAGGACCTAAAATATTTTAGGTCACACAGTGACTAAATCACATAACAGTGTTACATCATCTTAATGTTTAAATTATTTATTTTCTAGGTTGCATATTGTGATATAGTCAATTATATGTAAATCTAATTAATGACATACGGCACAATAGTTTTTTTAAAATTTTATTAYAAAAATTGTGAAAAGCGGGATTACAGCATCAACACATTCCGAATGGKTTAATATTATAATTGATCATATGAATCTTAAACCAATTGAATACGATACAACATTAGCTGCTTGTGATGCAACAATTAGTACCGTTATTAATTCATTGTTAGAAGATTTTCCGAAATTAAAATTATCAACAATATGCTGCTCATCCAATTGTTCACCGATATTTCTAACATCAAAAGTTAATTTATCTTACAAACGACGGATGGATAAATATGGCATTTGCAAGAGTTTTTAGATAACTGTATCACACCAGAAAAGTCGAAAGGCGGTTACATGCTTTCTGWCACGACATGTGAAGGAATAAAAGAAATAATTACAAATATACTTCTGAACTAAATTTATTTATTGACATATTTTTCTGGAAAGGTAAATATTACAAAAAATTCAAAACAATAGTGCTGTTTCATAAATGACGAAACTCAAACTTAACTTAAATTATTCTTATACTGGTAAACTTAGAAATATTTATAGGGGAAGAAAATATTTCAAACAATAGAAGTTTAGAAACAACAGAATAAGTGAAAAAGAGCCTCTGTGATATTCCACAAGTTTTGATTTATAACTCAGTGACCAATGAGCAAAGAGGAGTTATAAGTTTTCAYCCTGAAAAATTGATACTGAGAAACACAATTGGATTATAATAATGCATATGCTAAAAGGGGTACTGGAAATTGGGAAACTATTTGATGATTTGTAAAAGAAACCCATTTCAACCAAAGAAAGTAAAATAGTTCCATGTGAAACTCTAATGTTTAAAACAAAAAAGAGTAATTTTTTTTATAGACAATCGTAGAATTTTTTATTAAAAATAGATTTTTTATTCTACCTGGGTTTTGTTTTATTGAAATTTGTTTTTTTAATAAAATATAGATCCTTATAAATCAAATTAAAATAAATTATTGCAGWCGATTTTGCACGGAAGTTACGGTTGTGCGGATWTSRGTGATAGTCGTGCAAATTCATATGCTCAATGCGTGCTAAATGAAGGTGATCTAAAAATATTAAAATTCCTTTTTTGAGGCTGGGCGGTGCTAGCAAAATGTTATCCCAGCACCGCCCGTTGATTTTTGAAATTACGGAAACACTGATGACGTGCATATTGTAAAATTAGTCATGCAAATTTGTACTAATTAAATGCTAATTATTGGTGAAATAAAAAGTTAAAATTTGTTAATGGGCGGTGCTGGTGCAACGTACGCGGAAAAGAAAATGTGCGTCATTATAACTTAAAAATGAAATAGGTCAATTAATAATAAGATATATACGAAATTTATGTTTATTTTGCAGGTTCAGATAATATATTACCAGTCCCCAGTGGAATTTACAATCTTCCACCAGCTAGGGAGTGCCGAAGATGATTAATTTAAATTAATTATTATATTACGAAAATTTTGTAAATACTTTAGAAAGTTCATTAGTTCAAATTTAGTCAAAGTTCAACTGCATTAACTATTAACATTAGAATATAAAGTATACTATAGACATTTTTAGTATCCTAGAGTAATATTTTTAAATTACAACAATTTAAATAAAATTGTTTTTCTTGTTTATTTAATATATAATTCCATATAAATTTGTACTTAAAATAACTATAAAAAACCTGTGCTTGTATATTGCTTATTGCTAATAAGCAAAAAAAAAAAATATCCTTGACTGACAAACCATCTCCACTCAGAATCGTTTTTCCTATAATATAATKAAATATCATAGAATTCAAATATATTGCCATCCATTATACTCACTATCCTGTAACCTATAGTGCAGCAAAGCGACAGCCACTTACCTACYAGTTTTTTTTACGTTTTCAAACAAACGAGAAGATTAGAGTAGAAATTTTAAATATAATATTTAGTGATCTCAATATGTAAACATCATACCAAATTATAATGTTTTATTTTTTTAATGTTATCGTCACACTATTTGTTTTTTCATTTATATGAAAAAATATAGGTTTGTTTTCTTAGAAAGTAATGATCGGCATCGAATCGTTTTACAAAAAAAAACTTGATAAGAATAAATTATAAAATTTTAAGTCATCCATATCCATCCACTTTTACCTGATTTGTAACTTGGAAAATCGTCGTACACCTCAAATGACGCTTCGACCGGTCCATATCTCATAACATCTTTTTGGATAGTTTCATACATGAGGTAGTAATAGTCTCTCGCTGTAATCATAATTTAATTGAACATTTGAACTCAAAACGTATTAGAACGTAAGTTTACCTATACAAATATAAAAAAAAAATCATACTGAATCTATGATCATCGTTAAAATCGATTTCTTGATCTCCATAACACATTCTCGTGCATCTGTGATGTTTTTCCATTGGCTTACCCCTGCACGAGTTATTGCCATATTCGTCACGAATGCAAGGTGGGACTCGATATGGTTGACAACCCTATTAGTAGGTACATAATTTCGAAGAATAAAATTAATAATGCACGTTCGTTCACTTTTTTTTTAATAGTCTCATTTTTACTCACMTCTTTCGATAGATAATCTCCTCCTGTCACGATTCCATGTCGTCTGAAGTAACTCCAAGCTTTAATTGGGTAGCCTCCGTGACATCCAAAACCACACGAGTGGCAGCAAAATGTTAACTCTTCAGGAGATAAAAGTTCATTGAATTCCTGTTTCGTAGCTATACACAGCCGGTCGGAAAACGCTGAACTCGTGGCAAACGCCTAATGAAATTGTGCGTAAATATAACATAATATGTATTGCTAAAGTTTCGACTCAAAATCAACATCATTCAGACGTACCCAACACGATCCACAATTTCCTTGGTCGCGAACTAGTCCAATCGTAATACACCGTCTCCACTCTTTCCTCGCGTCAAACTTCTTTGGAATTCTGCCGAACAGGTTCACATAAGCTTCATCRTCTGACTTGTACATTTTAAGGTTTAGATTGTGTGAGGCTTGTACTCCTTTTGATCCCAAAAGTTTAATTATGTATTCCTTTGGTGTTATTGGATCAAAGTTCATACCCGCCTAATTAAATAATTTTATCTTAAGGTTAGTATATTTATCATTGCTTATATTAATATAAATTCTACTTGAAATTTTACATTTTCTAGTTTATTAAATTGATATTATAAATTGAAATAATAAATATGTTCAAAATCTAATTAAAAATCATAAAATTATAAAAGAAATATATTATTTTTCAATCAATAAAAACTAATACAATAAGTGGATAATAGCAATTAAAATTGTACATTTTCATTTCGATTTCGAGCCCTGCTAGAAATAGAGGCCGATCACTGTCTCCGATCGAAATTGTTTTTATGAGTACCTACTACCCACATAATAACATAATTAAACTCTAATTTAATACGTCCATTGCACTTACTGAATAATGATAAACCCAAATTTATACTCGTACCTACTTTACAAAATAGCGCTTTTTCCCGTTTTTATTTTAATTAGATATCCACTTGGTCATATTATAGTTAATGTGTTGTTCTAACTTGTATTATTATTTTTTTAAATGATTACGAAATCATTACATTTAATCGTATCTCAAAATTTGTTATTATTCTCTATCATAAACCATAATCTATAAACATGGTAAAAAATATAGTATCTAACTATAGACTCCCATAAGCGTTACCGTGATGACTCTATTCTGCATCACAGATTTGTTTAAATATAAAATTTTTTTTGTTTCTTGACTTTAATGGAAGTAATACTGCTATATTTCAAATAAATTAGAAGTGGCCTTTTTCCAACTTCAATTGGTATAATTTTGTTTGTATATGTTTATCACCAGTGGCGTGGCGTACCCAGGATTTTCAAAAAGGGGGTGGGGCTAAATCTATATCAGTATTCGATACCATAATAAACGTAACGTTTTTACTTTGCTTATACTTGGTCATTGTTACTAAAGATAATACGTTGTATTCAATACCGTTTTTTAGAAATATCATGGATTTTACTTTGTCTTTTATAATATAAAATGTATTCCAAAACACTGCCAATGGTGGGGGGTATACTCCCCCTTGGGTACGCCACTGTTTATCACTATGTGATGTTGCGGCTTATGTATATAGGCTAGGCACATGTTATAATATCTTATTGTGTATATTTGATCTATTCAATCTTCAAGAAATATTTTATGATATATATTCTTATTTAAAACCATATCAATTTTGTTTTATTTTTGACCACAGTTTTATTGTATAATTTTTTAATAAAAAACTTTGTTACCATAACGAACAATTTTACTAGTAAGTGATTATGCTGAAAGATTATATGTAGCTAATTAGGTGAAATTATAAAAAGAAAATTAACTTTTTAGATTTAAATTTAATTGCTTCTGTTWGCAAATTGAAAAGACGTTTAGTATACATACTTCTGTGTTCTTTGTATCCCTTATTTTATTAGATATTAACCTGTTCTTACTCAAACAAAATTTAGTGATAAATTTATTACAAAAGGTAACCAAGGTAAAATTTTACACCTCAATTTTGACCTCTCCCCCATATACGGCCTTGTCTACAATAGGAAATTACTCTTTAGATGGTGTAATCAATATAATGATTTAGGAACGTATAGTTGAATTTTAACTGTTTGCATATTTTTCTCTTAATTTTTACAAAATAACATCTATCTGGGCTCAGATTTTAATGCAAAGAGTATTATTTTTTGCTTTCTCGAAAATGAGAATTTCACAGTTATATTTTTAAAGCTTTTTTGATGTATTTTATAGGGTATAGGTATAAATTCGGATCCTAGGGTTCCTAGGAAAAAAACATTATATGGTCTTTCTCGTAGTTCAGCGGTTCCCAATCGCAGGTAAAAAAATATATATTTATCTCCATAAGCTAATTGAACAGATTACAAAAAATTTTAAGGATGAAAATCGTCATGAATATTATTATAAATAATAATTATTATTATTATAATTGTCATGCTCTTTGATTGCATAATTCATTTTTTTATGTATATTATACTATATATAACTATAAGTTAGTGTAATCGTATATCGACAAAGGTTGAGTTTAAAATGTTAGAGTTGCTCTCATAAAAGGTTGGAAACAACTGATATTTATCTGGTATACCTACCTAGAYGGTATAATTTATTAGTTTGATATAGAAATTTGCCTTTATTATTATAATATTATGTTATACGTTATACTGTGCGTAATTAACTCACCTTCCACGTCTTTGCTTTTTCGTTAATACTTTCGATGAAATCTTCTTCCAGAAAATATGTTTGTTCCGACACATAGACGGTAAAGAGTAAAATTACAGACAACGAAAATAACACCCTAGAACCCATGACTCCAGCAATTGTATTTTCTATAAATGAAGGGAATTTTGTTCAATACTATTTTTTATCTTTTGTTGTCTAAGTTCAACAATTATACACAGCAGTAGTCGTCTATACTTGTTAAATGAACGTTGGATGATTAATGTTTTACATCATGTAAAATTTTAGTAGGCGTAAGTACCACTGCAATGTATACATATATCATAATTTTAGTAGTATAATCCCGCTATTCGGTCACATCGAATAAAGATAATATGAGATACACCTGTAATATTGCCGTTGTAAATATTTCAAGGCAAAAACTCTTCAACTTCGACGCCAAGTTGGTTCCATTGCTTAATACCTATTTACTATGGTGTAGGTAACTTWATTATATTATTTGTGTATTACGGAACTGAATGTGCATACCGTACATTTTTATACATGTATTACCTACGAGTGTTGTGTTGTAAAAAAAACACTTGAAATATAGTTCCGAAACGCCGATTACTGAATTATTGTATTTCTTCATAATTATTATTAACAATAATAGTTAATGTCAAATATATATGTACGAATAAATAAATAACAATTGAATAATATTTCTGAAGTTTATTTAAGATTCAGTTTATAAAACTAATGTTCCCAAAGWTGTTTTTTTTTTTATATCTTAAGGTGTAGGTTTTTATTTWTATTTGTCCAATRTGTTAAYACAACAATTATTTCAATTTCCCTCTAGGTTTTTTTGAGAAAACTATAACGAAATTAGGAAAATCGACTGAGTTTAGTGTTTCCATTCCTGAACGTTAAATTTAATATGTTTGATCTATTCAACGATCCTAACCTAATATCTATTTGTTCATAATGAAGTCGAAGTTATATAAATTTGTATAGTTTATAACATTGAAAAAACAATTGGTCATACATTTAATTACGATTAAAGATCTATTTTTTTAAAAGCCCCTTGAAGATCATTATAACTTTATAAGTAAACTAGCTGGTGTTACCCCGGCTTCGCACGGGTTGCGACCATACGAATATTTCACTTTGAATTTTTTTTTCTTAATAACATTTTTTCATTGTTATGTACGATACTCAATAAATTTCGCTAACAAGTGGAATTGCCTTTGATGTATACGTATTGATATATACGCTCTTGACTTTTCATTTTTCCTCCTTTGTGAGTGTTCTTTTGAACTACTCAACCGATTGATATGAAATCCAACATTTTTCACTTTTTCCATTTTTTTGAAAAATTACTTCTTCCATTATTTTTCTTTTTTTTAACCATTTTAGCTGACACCGCGATTTTTCACTTTTCGCTATATTCTTTTTAAAATACGGAATAGATTGAACGTACCATTAAAAATGCAATTTAACGATTTTGATGGTTCAACTTTAAAATTATTAATTCATAAATATTGCTATAAAGTTCAGTTGTGTATAATTAAAATGATTATGCCATCAAATCATGCGTAAAAATAAAATATTATGCTCTAATGATTATTGTTTTTTTTTGTTTGTCGAAATTTCTAAATAAAAAAAGAGAATAAAAGAACAAGACCGTAAGTATTTATTTTGAAAAATTTTTTTTTTGTTTATTAGAAATTGTTTCTTAAATGTATTTCAAATAAATATTTCTTATTTTTAGTCTTCCATTTTGGAAGTGCTTGGTTTCGGTTTAATTTTTTCTTCTTAATTATATTTTGATAAATACCAATCATGAAAACTGTAATTTAATGATTAATTAATATTTATTTTTGAATTTCATTGTTTTAATCGTTGGTCACAAATTTACCTTTTTATTTTAGAAGTTTCCACATGATAAGTTATAACTGATGATTGTATTAATGCTAAATATTTTTTATCTTGATATTCGTTAACTCTCGCTTTTTCTATTGTTATTATTGTGTTTTTTTCTGCAATAACATTTTCAATAAAATCAAGAAAGGAGAGATTGCTTTAGCAGTAGCTTCTTCTGGAGTAGCAGCAACTTTATTACATGGTGGACGCACTGCCCATTCAGCACTGAAATTACCTCTGAATTTCAATTTAACAGAGGAGCCTTATTGTAACATTATAGATTATAGATTATATGTAGCATGTTCAAGAGGTGGTGACCCGAAAAATCTCTACATTTATTGTCCGAATGGAAAAACAAAGAACATCGTATATCCTCAAGCATTTAAATGATACAGATTATTATATAATATTACAGTATTGGAAAACTTAATTCAAGCCTTTTCTGACCTCATATACCAGTTTAAATAATCCACCATACCAAAGAACACCATAAACTAGATCAAAACAACAACAAATTTTGTTTTTGACACTCTTCTCTTATTCTGCAATAATCATTCATTAACTTTTCCTATATTAATCTTATTAACAAACAGTTTCCATAGAAACATAATCATATAACAATAACATATAATTATAATTATAAAATATATACATGAAGTCGTCTCGACCGGGTGACCGAGAAGGACATCGAGTGGGGTTTTCATGTCGGTTCTGACCTTCCTCAGATGTAGCTGAATATCTATGTTGAATTTCAAATCAATCAGTCGGGTAGTTTTCGAGATCATAAGGATAATAGAAACCGCCACTTACTTTTATATATATAGAAGAAGATTGACTACATTTTATAGTTCAATATGACACGGTGCATCGATCCTCGATGGACCGTGTACGTAAATAATTATACACTGGATATGTCTTGTATAATCTCGCTCGTTTATTTAAGTTTTACAACATGATATTGTTTAGTAAAATTTATATCCGGGCCGCGTGGATACAAGACGTTAAAACGTTTAACATAAAACAAAATATTTAAGACATGGTTAACCAGAGCTTTGTGGAAAAATATCTAATTTAAAACTAATAAGTGGTAACCTTGAAGCGAAGTGGAATATTAATTAAAATAAAATATCAAAATATTGAATAATAAAAAGTAAGTTAAACGGTATTATTGTATGATACTACTAGAGGGTCCTTAAAATAAGTAAATTTTCGTTGCAAATATTAGTTTAAGTTAATGTATACACTGATAACATAAAGTACTAGAATATCATATACCTACGATACTTAATTATAAATTAATTAATTTATAAATTAAATTTTTGTTACAAATTTTATAAATTTTATTAAATTAAATAATAATAAATAATAATAATAATAATAAAATAATATAATATAATAATATAATAATAATAATAAATAATAATTTTATAAATTTTATTTTTCATTTTTGTTACAAATTTATTTGTAATACCTACTTGTGTATTTATAATTATACGTGCTTCATATGACAGTATATTTAAATTACATGTTTAAACCCTTATGCTTTAATATACCTCAGTGGCGGATACGAGGGGGGCGGATACGTGGGAGGCGGATGGGGTGATTGCCCCCCCTTGGGCCATATTTTTTACGTTATATTTATATTATGAAATTGGGCTGAAAAGCGATATTTTTATTTTTTTGATACTACTAATAATATTGCACATAAGGCATTAGTTATGACTTATGATGGACCTCCGTAAAACTATTTTCCATTTTTTTTCTCATTTTCCGTTGTGATTCTTCCTGTTTAATGTACATAATAATGTAGAAACAAAAGGTGGTAGAAGAAATACTAAGTAACTAAAAAATCTTGTTACTCAACCATTAAAGAATTTTGCAAAATTAACTGGTAAAGATGGCTATTTAGATAAACACAATAACAATTTGTACCACAAAAACTGTATTCAATTTGCCATTGACTTTCAAAAAACTWATTTAATTCCTGAAACTGTTGTCGTAAATAATTTAGATTCAGAAAGAATGAAACTCATAAAAGAAAATCGAGAGCATCTTAAACCTATAGTAGAAACAATTATATTTTTAGGAAGGAAAAATATTGCGTTTAGAGGACACAGATGAGGTACCTATAAGAGTTTTTATTTTAATGTACTTTACTTATTTTCTAAGAACAAAAGTCAGGTTAGTATATTATTTGTAAATTATTTTTACATTCATTTATGCCAAGAATATTTCAATCTTGTTATAGAACTTATAGATACACCTAAATTAATTGTTACCATACATTTTTAGGTACTTTGTGTCAAGCCTTCTTAGGTTCACAATTGTAAAATATCTATAAAAAATATTTAAGATCAATGATAAACAAAAAAAAAATTAATAAAATTTATTTGCATAATATTATACATTAATATAATATTTTTATACTGCTTTTATGAACAAGAATATTAGTTTTTAAGATAATACATCTGACTTTATTTGGAGAAGGTATAAAGCGTTTAAAATAAATGTACTTAATTAAGATTGGTACTTTCTTTATTATTCATTCTTCACTTACATATTAAGTACATTTATACTTTATAGGTTATAACTTATAGCCCCCCCC